GCTTTACTAAAGTCCAGGTAGACAATATCCAGTCAGTCTCTTCTTTCCCTCGGTACTGTAATGTCTCTGTTAATAGAGCAGAAATTTGAATTATATGACTTGTTTCCGCCAACACATTCTACTGAGTCTCACAACTGAGCTGCTGTTCCCCTGCACAGATGAACCATAAGCTGGTTGTAGCACTTCTGTGACTAATTTTTGTAAGGTGTGATTACCAAGCATGTAACTTCAGTGAAGTTTTTAACCACTTCCAACCACATCTGCTCTAGTTTAATACAGTGATTTTTAAAAAAGAACCTTCAGATCTCCTATGTGTAGATAAAACTTTTTTCTTTCTGGATCTGTGTTCTACTTCTCACATCTTGTAGATTCTTAGAGATGGTCTGTTGGCTTGTACATTGGAAATCATCCTTAATACAGTTAACATATTTTGAAGGCCTAAATTATTCAGGCTGTGCGTGTGTGTAGGTGTATGTATGTACATATGTATCTCACTGTGAACAAGACAACTGTGTACTTATGTGTTGACCTGAGCCATGACAACATCTTTAATTAAGATGATAAGGATTACAAACAGTGTTGAATATTGAGGTCTTAGACTATCAATTATGTGTCAGTTGTACATCATGCCGTACCTCAAGCTCCTGGATTAAAAACTAGATATTTTTAGTATAGAGTGGTTAAGGGATATGAGCTACCAGCCAAGCACTTAAATGATTCAGGATTTAAAAGCATCTTTTAAGGGATTAGAGGCTCACTACTAGAAATTTTTTAAGACAGTAACCTTTAAAAAAATGCATACTATGTTTTGGGATGATGCTTGGGAAGGTATTTCCTGCCTGTATATTAACAAAATATATTTCATTCAGGAAAAGAGCTTTCTGTGCAGATCTGCTGGTATCACATTGTAGGAGTTATGATGTACATTTGGGCCTCTCTTCACCAACACAAATGTCTTGTGATTCTAGCAAATCTTAGAAAAAGTAAATCAGGTAAGATGTTTCATTTCTGCCGACCATTTACTGTAGTAATTTTTTCCTGGTTGTTTCAATAGGCTTCCGTAGCTTCTAATACCTTAACACGAGTATTTTTTAGTTCCTGTAAGACTTTCAGTAGATTAAATGAGGCTGTTTGGAAAGGAGATTGGATGGCTGAATATGCGGTGGGTGTGTCTCTGTCTGTATGTATAGCTTTATAGAACTTAAAATGAAGGTCTAGCTTCTAGTATCCTAAGGGCAGACACATGCTAATGCTTAGGACTTGTGCCACTCCTTGGGGACCTCGCTTCTGTCTCCATGCCAGCTAAAAATAGGTTTCCTTACTCGATTTGCGCAAACAGCCAGAGGTGGCATCTTATTTCATTAAGAAGTGCAAAGCTGCCAGATCAGATGGAGGTGGATGATGAGATGATAATTGTAATGAGCATGTTGCTCTGTAATTGTGAGTAGAAGAGAAAAGTTTGTTTAATGCACATTGTTCTCAACTAATTTCTTTCTGTTTGCGTGCAGGAAAGGTCGTAAGTCTGAGCCACAGTGTACCTTTCGGAGACTGGTTTGAGAGAGTTTCTTGCCCTCATTATTTTGCAGAGCTCCTCATATATGTATCTATGGGCATCGTGCTTGGATTTCACAATGTGACGTGGTGGTGTGTAGTGATGTATGTTCTTTTTAACCAGGCACTGGCTGCTGTTTTGTGTCACGAGTTCTATCAGAAAAACTTCAGCTCCTACCCAAAGCATCGAAAAGCATTTATACCCTTTGTTTTTTAGAATATTTCTTCTAAAGTATCTTTAGTGCAAACTGGGAAATGTTTTCTATAAGGGAATAAGAGATTTACGGTTTATTAAAGCCAAGGTAAAATCTCACGTTTTCTCTAATTCTAGCTTAAAAGCTCATAATGATAATCTCATCCATGTTAACAAGTTCCATAGGGAAATGTAAGGTCTCTGCATATCATAGAAGCTAAAGAAAGGTTTACTGAGGACCTCAATTCAAACTGAAGAGATGCTAATTAGCTTTTTTCTGGTTTATAATTATGCCTTATGCATAAAACACTTGCTGTTGTGCAGCAAAACCAAATACGTATATGTGAAAAGTCCTTAGTGAAGGGAGGGTGGAGGGAATCATTTGAACTACTGTATATCATGCCTCGTCTAACATTTAAGCACATTTTTTTTCTACTCTCTTTTCTTTGAATCGCTTCAGAGGGAGGCAGATTGTGTATTGTCTTTCTGTGCTTCCCTGTTGATAATTAAAACCAGCCACTGCTTTATAAATGCAAGCACAAAAACCGGTGGAGAAGGCTGCGGTGGAGGAATGACTCATACTCAGCAGTGGGGATAAACAGATCTATTCTCTGCATTGTCTCTTCTGCACCAAAGTGGGTTCGCTCATTGATGAAAACTCCTTGTTTATTCCTAAACTGGGAAGATCATGGCAGGTTCTCTGTCTAGAGAGACAGTAGAAGAGAATTTCAAGAAAATTAATGTTCTTGGTTATGATTCTGTTGTCCTTATAGCGGGTTATTGGAATCTGTTGTGTGTTAGAGGGGGCAGTTACGCTGGATGACTGTAACCACGACTACACTGGTTTTTAAACAGCCTGTCAGAGTAGATGTAATGAACTGCCAAGGCAGAGAACAAACGGCAAGTGGTGCCTGACAAGCATTGCAAAGAAATTCTTTACTGGGGAGATGATGTCACTCAGCACAGAGGGGTTTTGCACTTAACTGTTGAATATTTTGGTTCTTTTCCTGACACAGGAGTGAATGATCAGATAGCGTGATGTAGCATATGGATGCTGGTGTTTCAGTGTGTTTTCTACTTATGTACATATATTATTTTGTATATGAGAATTTTTATATACTGAAGTATATCTTATGAATTATCCAATTAAAATAATTTATCACACCTATTTCCATTTTGTGCAATTTTTCAAAACTGAGCTGTGTATTTGCAACACACGAGCAATTACTTGGCACAAAACGTTGCGCCTCGCTTCGCTGTCGCCACCCTCTCTCCATCGACGCTTCCGTAGCCTCGGTTCACCGTGGAACACGAACAACCCTGTCTTGGGACCGCGTCTTTCCGTGTTATTTTTATTTAGTGATTCCCGGGAGGCTCCTTGAGCCTGCCTCCATGCCACTCCTGTTCTACAGGCGGTTTTGGTCCTGTTTCCCAGACCATTGATTGCTTTTTGGGGAGCACGATCCTGTCCCTGCCCTGGGGTGCGCGGCCCTCTCCGGGGAGAGCACAGGGCTGCACGGCTGCACGGCCCCGGTTGCGTGCACCCAAACCGCTGCTTTGTACTTGGGCTTTTAGAAACCTGGATATGTACTCAGGCTATTTCTATGCCATCTTTTTTTTTTTTTTT